CAGGCCCAGCAACACAAAGGGCACAAAATTTTCCGTGTTACACACCTCATTAAAAACTCATCCCTAATTGCCAAGGGGGAAGTATTTTTTCTCCAGTGAGGGGATGGACAGAAAAAACCTTTGGCACAGTTTTGACATTCTACTGCTCTATGATCCCAAAAAATGCAATGTCCCTTTCAAGAGCATTTCTGAAGTTCTGGCTGAAGCCTGCCCCAGGCCTGGAAAGGGAGTAGGACCCTGACTCCAAGGAGAGTCTACCAGTGATCCCCATAGGGTTAGGACCAAACCTTTAGAGTAGGACATCCCGATCCACCCAGCCCTTGGTGAAGTCGACCGATCCCCTGTGACTTCAGTGACCATTGCGTGGGAATGACCCCATCCACTTAGGGTAGCTTTATCTGTTTGTTTCTTCAACCGCTGCGAGGGCAGCCGGAGCCCTGGCTTTGAAGCTGTCGCACTGGCAGCCTATCGCAGTGATATTTTGTGTGTTTTGAAGCCTATGACTGTTCTTAAACAGGATTTTTTTTTTCATTTGTAGCAGGAAGGACAAGAGTAATCTGTGGCAAACTGTACAGTATGTGTCTTCTTGTGGTGTCACTGTTTGAATGGTTATTAAGTTTTCAAATCACTGTGGACAGCTAATCACTTAAGTTATTAATTTATTCTTTTGGGGGTTTGTTGTTTGTTTTTTTTTTAAGTAATTTGAAACAATTATTTATCCTGTAAATCAGTCTTGAGTGAAACCTAGATAATACTTTTTTTGCTGGTAATAAACATGGTACCTACCTGATGTGAAGGTGATCTCGTTTTTAAGTACTGTATATGCAGCAGAAAAGCAATGGGAAAATAAAAGGATGACAATAATAATAATAAAAGACCTCTCTCACTGCTGACTCCAAAGATTGATTCGGGTGGGGAAGAAAAGGGGTAATAATTTCTGGTCAGCACTTCCCATGCCCGGTATTTTTCTTTTTTGTGTGTGTGCTCTTCTCTTCAATGCATCGATCCCTCCTCAAATGACCTCAAAACAAGTCCCACTATGTGGGTGAAGATACAGTGGCCATGGACACCAGGTAAACCCTTTCTCTAATTGAGCCAGATCCTTCTACCCAGAAGAGTGAGACAAGGATGAGCTGGCAGCAGCATTTCCCAGTGCCCTCTTTTCTTTTGGCACTGGATGCACTTTGGACATGTTGCCACAATACAATTATCTATCTTGCACATGCATCTACAGCTCAGAACCAGCATGAGAACCCACACAGCCCATTACAGTGATGCTGGAAGTCACTAAGAAGCCAGGAAGATCTTTTGGCACTTTGAGCATAACAGGGGAAAGAAAGTGCATTGGGAATGCCAGCTATTGCAAGCAAAAAGTGCAAATGTCTCTATTTGCCCAACAGGAGAAGGGGGAGTGAGCCCAGAGTTTGCCCTGCATAGTCTCAGCCCTTGGCACCTCACAGTGTTGCACCTGGGGGGATGGAGCAGGGGCAAAATGAGACACCAAGCCCAACCCTAAAATCTTTCCAGACTGTTTTTTTAAAGACTGTTTTTCCAGATTTTTTTTTGAAATTGGCTCTGCTTTCAAAGGAGAGGTTTCTCCATGTCTGTTATCTGTGGATCTGGATCCCATGCAGAGCTGGCACAGCTCATTCCTAACAGGCAATGTGGATGCAGAAACCCTATTTGAGAGGTTCCCGGTATGAGCACGGATGCTCCACGCTAGTTAGCCCCAGTGCCAGCGAATGGTCTGGGTATGTTTGATTCCCAGCTGTAGACGATGCCAGTGTAGCAGCTGAGCCTAACTTAATCCAAATAAAAGCACGAGGGGATGTTAGAGGCATTAAAGTAATAGCATGAGAAATAGGCTATTCATACAAGAAAAGCTGATCACTAACGTCTGGGTTGTACCCTCCATGCAATAAATGCAGGCAGCGGTGTAGGGCTGGCTGTGCCACACACATCTATATTTCACAAGACACACTCCCTGCCGAAAAATCAGAACAGCTCTGTAACAAAAGGGTTTCAATCAAGCTTTTTAAAAATATTGGCAGCTGATAACATACACCAAGTGGAAAGGGCAATCCATTTTCATACGAGGCCTTCAGTGGTCAGGAAGTGGGGTGCAGGTCCACCCTGCTTAACATGCAATTCTGTTCTTGGTTCAGCATCAAGTTTAGGAGAAATGAGAAGTCTGCTTTACAGACACTGAGGAAGCATTCACCCAGACACACATTGCTCTGTCTTTAGTCAAATCTGAGGCACCAAAATACAAGAGCTCAGTGTGCAGTTTACATTAACATATATATTAATAATACCGCTATATTATTATAATAATGCAATACTATAATATCATACCAATATATAGTATATTAATAATATTACTAATGTTATAGTTTATTGACATTCCTGTTGGTATTAATAATGATATAATTAATGTGTATGAATATTAATGCTAATAGTAATGCATTTTAAATATTTAGTAAATTATTAATTCTATCATGTTTTTTATATCTAGCAATTATTTGAGGGGAAATAATATTGAAGCAGCTGTAGATAATACTATGAAAACACAGGCTCAGGACTCAGTCCCGAAGGGAAATCCAGTGCTAAGAATTATAGGAAATGAACAGAACCCAAAACAGACATTATGCCATTGAAAATACCCAGGCTGTGATCCCACATTGAATGTTGCTTGGGGTTTGGGTCAGCTCACCCCCCAAAAAAATCATAAAAGTAGAACAAGAAGAGATATATTTGGAGAAGAGCTTATCAACACCAACAGCCTCTCTGTGAGATAATTAACTGGACCTTTGTCATGTCAAGGAGACCATAACAGAGGAATCTGTGATCCCGAATGGCATGGAGAAAACAGAGAGGGACCAATTATCCTCCTCTTCCCAGGAAACAAGCTTTGGGGAATAGCTAATAAGAGCAGACTCCATTATCCCATGTTGTCTTACTTATTTAGGCCAAGCTTCCCTCTACTTTCATTAAATGCCTTGATTATTTAGATTAGGAGCCAACCAAGGCAGAGAGAGTCTCCCACAGATTTAATGTACAGCACCAACCGCAGCTGGGACCAGGTCTCATTAAATGCCTTCAGGTGACACCCTGTTGTAAAGGTGACCTTCAGGAACAAGAAAGCTCTACGAAACCTCTTTCGACAGGGGATTTTTAAAAGATGGTTTTTAATAGCAGGAAATATTGTACTTCTTGTATAATTTCAACTTTGGATCCATATTTATTTCCCATTGGCACTATTTCAAATCCAGCTTAATTCCAGCAAATACAATAGATATGGTCCATTATTCATATACATAATCATTTTAATGGGGTTACAGTCTGCCAGTGGAACTTGGATTTGAATTTAATGATGTCTCATTCATAACTAATTTAGCTTAAATATAATTCTCCAGCTTTGAAGGTTCTTTATTTGTCTCACATTTAATATGCACATGTGCAAAATAGAAGATGAGGTCCTCAGATTGGGAGTTTATTTTCCCTCCTCTTTCATCTCAGTGATAAGCAGCAAGCTGGAGATCCACCAAAGCAGGATGCCCAGCAGTGGATGGGTAACAGGAGACCATCCACAACCAAAAGGTCACAGAAATGTCCAAAGCCATTTTTAAAGCTATCAGTATGAGACACTATGCATGCAGTGAGACTCCATGTTGAATTGATTCATCACCTCCTTTATTCATATATAGGAAAGACAATAAAAGAATATTATAGTATATGCCAGAGATCAGATCCCAAGCCACAAAATGTCATCTCTAGTAGATCTCCCAATTGCATCAACTGTAGCAATTTCTGTGCTTTGCCTTTCACTGCATGTCAGTGCAATATTCCCCCCACCCCATCAGGATTAGGCCCTGAAAACAGGACCTAAGGCACAAGTCTCTGCTGCTTGAGCTAGAGAAATCTCTACTACAGGCATGAGTGAGGACAACTCATTGGACAACAGCATTAGAGAGAGCTACATTCATACAGACACACAACCCAGGGGTAACCCTCTGACCATCAAAATCAGCCTATGTCCTTCAAAACCAAATATATTGGTTTATATAATGCATTGGTTTATATATTATATATTATACTTGTTTATATAATATAACCTGTTGGGCTTACTGTCCTTGCAAACGAGCATTTTAAAAAACAGCTAGTGGTTTTGGCAGGGGGGCCTCCATTTATCAGTGCTCAACCCAAGGTATCCCAAAAGAAAGTCCAATTTATGAATGGCACATCTGGCCCAGAAACCCAGGAACTGAGAGCAGCAGAAAAAAGTAATGGAGTGCTGAAGTCACTCCTGAACAAAGGCCTGTGTGTCTGGGCCATCGTGCACATTAATAACACCCAAAGTGCCAGGGGAGGTCACTGTAGGAACGGGTAACACAACGGGGGCTTGTTGAAGCACACAAAGACCAAGGAGACCAGGGTCAGTCTCTTCCAGCTTTAGGGGTTCAGCGTCTTGACGGATGTTGGCAGCGCTGGGTTTTTTTTAGAAAACACAGCTCCTTTACATTATCTCCACCTGGCTTCTCAAAAAAGCATTAAAAAATACACAGTCAAGCAGAGGCACCCCAAAAATGAGTCGGTGCTGCAGGAAAGCTCAGGCTGCAGTTGGGATGTGCAGGGAAGGTCTCAAGACCTAGAGCTCCGCTGGCTCTGCCCCGTCCTCACCAGGCTGGTGGCATGGTTCACAGCAACAAGACAAGGCTATGCTTAAGCAAAAGGACACTTCTCCGAGCTGTCATCAGCTGCTCATCTCCGTAGATGCTTAGCTACTAGTATTACTTTAAGGCGTTAAGATCAAGTGCATAGAAAGCGGCAGATGCCAGAATTTGGCTCCATCCAGCCACATAGTCTCCAAATCAGCCATGGAGTCCTTTTCTTTGTGAGATTCAAGGCCAAATCCTTTCTCTGCTGTCATTGGTGTCAGAAAGAGGAGCCTCTGGCTTCAGGTCAGCCCAGCCAGCTGGGTTAGACACTTTTGCTTTAACCTGATCCCTAAAAGACGAGTCCATGAAAGGAGCCGGATCCTCCTCCCCCAGCAGCGGGGCTGCAGCCCCCCGATGAGCTGTCGTCATCCTTGTCCCTGTCAAAGTCTCTCCACCACAGAGGGGATTTCGGCAAGGCAGAAATGTAGGCAGCTCTGTTCCTCGCTTCTTTTTCCTGCTCCTGGGTGAAGGAATGGGGAGAAATAAAGCCAAGACATTGACATTACCTGCAGCTAAACGCACAGAGAGTTCCTCCAACCTTCCCTCCAGGGAGAGAAGCCAGGAGCCAGTTTCTTCATCACTAGGAGCCTGCAACAAATTGGGGTTATCAGACCCTAGTGCCTCAGATCAGGTCCTGGTGAGAAATTCAGGAAGGTGAGAGACAAATCAGAGAGGTCAAGGGCAGGTTTCACCAGGAGATCTGGGGTATCAGCTGGGACAGTTCAGCATTAAAGGATAAATTACAGAGGAATATTTCATCTACAGATCCACTTGTGAAAGTCAATGGGATCCTCAAACCTTCTCAAAGTGGGAGGGGAACAGCTAGTGATAAATGACGGGCAGAGTTTGGATTCATAAACTGGAATGCTTAGCTGCAGAATCCCTGGAGACCCACAGGTTTTGGAGCGATCGCGCAGCACGGATCTCTAACATCTAACTGAGATTAAGTATCCACTTTCCTCTGAGAGCTGAGTGCTCATCTCTTGAGCTGTCATCAAGCATGACGTGCCACAGAAGTGAGGAGATAGAGGGGCAGGGGGACACCACAGGCCACAGGCCAAGCAGGCCACAGATGACCAAGCATCAGACCCTCTGCCTTTAGCAACCTCTGGGAGACAAACTCCTCACATTGCCTCCAATCTGGCTTTCCTTCAGATGATTCACTTTCTACAGGATACTTGTGCTGTTTGGAAATCTTTAAACTCAGTCTATTAATGTAACTTGTCCTGGATTTTATTCCCAGCTCACCCATCTTTTCTAGATATCTAGTAGGAAATTTGATGCAGATCTTTGGTCAACTTACATGAACTCAGCTCTCCATCTGCAGACATGCTTTGGAAGCATTAAAAAACATGTTTCTGTTACTTAGTCAGGATCAAGCAGCTGCTTATCCCTTACTTAACAGAGGCACAAATAAAAGCCAGGCCTAACCTTGGGGAAAGTCAGCAGAGATATCATTATATGGCTCAGGGAGCTACCAATTGATCAGGCTAGGCAACAGGAAGAAATTTGTGCAGGGACCACACTTTCCCGTGAAGCACGTCATCCGCAGGCAATGTATGTGGTGTAGATAGCCTTAGTAGCAAAGTATGGTTAAAAAAAAATCGAAATTCCCTCCTGCTCTATCTTGGCAGCCTTAGACAGGGAACCACAGCTTGCGACCCGCTTAAGTGATGAAGGAGTTGGGGAGACATGGGTCTACTGGAGAGGCCAGCAGAGAGCTACGAAGATGATTAGGAGATGGGAGCATCTCCCCTGTGAGGAAAGGCTGTGAGAGCTGGGTCTGTTTAGCCTGGAGAAGAGAAGACTGAGGGAGGATCTTTAGAGAAGGGTGTCAAGAGGACAGGGACTATTTTCAGGGGCAAGAGGCAACAGGCAAAAACTGAACCAGAGTCAGTTCTGCCTGAATATGAGGAAAAACTTCTTCACTGTGAGGGTGACAGAGCACTAGATCAGGCTGCCGAAAGGGGTTGTGCAGTGCCCTTCTCTGGAGATACTCAAAACCTGCTTGGATATGATCCTGTGCAATGTGCTCTGGGTGAGCTTGAGCAGGGAGGTTGGCCTGGATGCTCTCCAGAGGTCCTTTCCAACCTCAGCCTTTCTGTGATCTGGGATTCTGTGTGGGAAAGCCATCACTTAGCCACAAACATAGCCATAGGAGCCATATACAGAGAACAATACTCATAGCTCTGAGATAACTCGGGTATCTGCACACACAGACTTATCCTCAGAACCAGATCCCGTTGCCACCAAGATCAGTGGAAACAGGGCTACTGATTTTATCGGCAGTAGGAACACACTTCTGCCACTGTTCAAAGGGCCAGGGGGGTTACCTGCAGGTAGAGGATGTTGTCTTTGGAAATGGCTTCCATCAAGTCCTTGTTGAGGGAGGGTTCTCCATGGGGACGGCTGCTCTCAGCCCCCACCTCGTGCACGGGGCAGCCCCGCCGCGCCCGGCGC